TGGTGTTCAAGTGAAAAATCGTGCGAGGCTGGGGGAGCTGCCTGTGAGCAGGTGGGCAGAGCCAGGCAGCTGCTGGGAGAGGAGCAGGTAAAGCTGCATCTCCCTGCAGCCCAGCGTGGATCCCTCCAGGGCAGGACCACAGCCTGGTGCTGCTTCTAACTTGCTTCAGCCCCTGTCATGGGTTCTTTCTCAACTGCTCCTACGAGTCATCACAGTCCATTAAATCCTATTAACTAAAACTCCTCCTGTATCAGCTGAGCTTACTGAGCACCCAGGGGTGCTCACAGTGCCCAGCGCCTTCAGCACCCACCTCAACGTGGACAAGCCCAACACCCACAGCACCCACTGACCCCACCTGGTCAGTCTCTGGGGTTTGCTGCCATCGGGGGAGCTCTGCCTTCCCACTGCACCAGCTCAGCCTGTCTGCATCTCACATGCAATTTCTGAGTCCTCCATTAACATGTCTGCTTTAATTTATCCTCCATAACTGAGAAACCCGAATTAAAATAACCCTCCCAAATATGTATTTAAGTTTTAGGAGTGGTATTTTTTATTGCACCTCTAATTCTTTGAAGCAAACGCTGATATGACATCCCAGCTCCAAGGGTCCTGCAGGTTTTCATTTGTCAATAACAAATGCAATGAGCAGCAGCAAAAACATTGCTCCTCATCATCAGCTGGAGTTCATTGCAGCTCCATCATCTGCAAGGAAAACCACCCAGTTTTTGCCTACAAACTGTATTCCTGTCCTGCTACAGCCAATGCTCCAAATCCATGACTCAGACAAAATCCTGACATAACAACCCATTACCACAGCAGAGTAATGGCAAAAATCATCAGCTGTCTCCAGAGGAAGTACCTTTGGGTTCATCATTTAAAATATGAATTAGAAGAATCAGAGATGAGGATCCATCACTGGCATTGACTTCTCCAGACTGGTCTCTGTCATAGTAAGACCTTTGACCCAAGGACACCGTTATCTGGGCTCTAATTACTGGCCCTCATTAGGAGAGGGTTTCTCATTTTTTAAAATAGCACTTGTCCCTGTCCTACACCTGGTGCTTCCCACTCACTCATGCTGAGGGCAGGAGCTGGAATCCCTCACAACTTCATCAAGGCTCTGCTAATTTTAATCACTGCCAGTTGTGGCTCAGTGGGACGTTTCTCACCCCGTAGCTTTGTACCGAGTTTGGACTGAAGAAACTGCTCTTTCCTTTCCTGTGGCTTTAACCCAGTCCCAGGCCGAAATTTCCCTCTTCCCAGCACTGGTGGGTAAGGGAGCACGACAGGAAGGCAGGAGGCACATCCAAGAGAAGCAGCTCAGCTGTCCTGACCTGCAAGCACTGGGTTTTCCCAACAATCCCAGCTCTGAGGGGGAAAATGTGGGCATCTTTAATGGGAGGTTGGAGTTGGAACAGCCAGGGATTGTCTCTGCCAGCTCCCTGGGGACACCCACCTACTTTAGCAGCCCTTGGTTCTGCCTCCCCCACCTCTCCCTCCCAGAAAGGGGTTATGTCACTGCTGCTACTTGTGAGAAAGCAAAAACATCCAGAAACAGCTGTCTGAAGTTCGGCACTCCAATGCATATTTAAGTACCTGAACGCCTCCCTCCAGAGAGGGGGAAGAGCTAAATACGCTTTGTTTGTCTTGATTAATGAGATCACTCGCCAGCTTTTCAGGGCAAAGACTGCTCTGTATTTTTACATATGCAAAACCTGACATGCAGCCGGGCTGAGCAGGGTGGGGGAAGAGGGAGGCAGCTCAGCACACCCACACGAGGCAGGTTTATGTGGCACAGAGGAGTGGGCTGGGGCAGGTAAAGCCCGTGGGCCCCCCCACGGCAAACCCACTCCGTGCAGGAAGACACTCAGATCTCAGTAACTGCATCTCCTGGGCAGGTTTGCTGCTCACACCAAACAGCCTTGGGACATTTCTGCCCCAAGTTGCTTCCCCTTTGTTTATTGTCATGGGCATTTTTTCACCCTCTCCCCACCTTGAAGGTGATTCCTGGGGAGATGCTGCTTCTGTGTTAGTCAACCAGATCCTGATCCCAGCAGGATCTTCCCTGGGAGCTCTGAGCCCACCCTGGGCACCTCAGTGAAGGACATGAGTCCTGTGTTGTAGAAAATGAATCATATTTATTTCAGGGCCCACCTTAGGGCATCGCCCGCCTTTAAAAGTGTCAGACAACAAACACACCATGGTAAGACTACAGGGTTTTGTTACTAGAGCAGGATAAGAACCTCCTGAAATCAATCAGAAAACTACTCCTCGTTTTAAACAGGTAAAGTGTTTTTAACTTGAGCTGGAGCAACGTTTTCCAATCAGGCAAAACCCCTCGTGCAATCTGCAGTCTCTTCCCTGTCAGTGCTACAACCTATTTTCTGTGGCTGGCTGCTGGCTGTAACCAATCCTCTCTCTGCTCCTTCCCTTATAGGTTGAGCCTCATCTCAGTACTTTTCCAGACCCTGAAACTCGTGAAAAGGCACTCAGTGCCTCCCACTGAGAAGTGCCTGCCAGAGGTGCTGCCCTTCCCCAGAACACCCACCCATTGAGGACCGTGCTGGGCACTGCCCTGTGACCCCACACAGACTTTCTCTCAGGTTTTACGGAGTTATGCTAATGCAGATGCAGCCAAATAAAGCACAAATACAACAGGAATGATTCTGTCTCGGCCTGTTTGTTGCTTCATGTCAAGGGCACAGCACCTTAGTCTGAACACCACGACTGTCATCGTGCCCAAGGTATCAGCACACCCCAGGAACAGGGCAGTGTTCAACCAGCACAGCCCCACAGGGAAAGCAGGACAGTCTCCTTCTCTGCTGGTTCTGAACAATTACATTAAATGCAGTCCATATCAAATCTAGAATATCTCATACTCCATCAGTCCTTCTCGTTTCTTTGCCAAATCACTGGCTGATGCAGCAGAGCCCTTTCCTGTGTGAAGGAATCCAAACACCTGCTTTAACAACTGTGCCAAAGTGAGGCCTCACCACAGAGAGAAGCCTCCACTTGCAGATGACTCCAGCCAGCTCCACCCTCACCCTCCAAGAGCTGCTGGTGCCTCGTGTCCCCTGGGGCTGAACCTCTTACTGAACAAACTCAAACTCCAACAACAACTCGACATCACAGCTCCCAGACCCCAGCTTGGTCACCCACAGGTGACAGCAGAGGCTCAGTTACCAGCACATTTGGAATCCATCTCCTCCCAACAGAGCACTTCCCCTCAGTGTGATACCACTTGGTAATAAGTGTGATTACTTTAACTGTGCCTCTCCATTATTGCTGCAGGAATAATTAATTACTCCTGTGTAGTCTGCCTCTCACATCTACTGTCAGAGCTCAGATTGTACCATCTATCTAAGTCAAATTAGCTTTCAGTTTTCATATCCATCATCCCACTGGCACTTGGAGAGCTCAGATGTGTTCTGAGCTACACTCTGAGAGGTGAGATCTGCTGTCCTGGGCAGGCCCAGCTGCATCCCCAGCTCAGGAAGGGGCTGGTAACAAACATGTGCCCAGCATGATTTTTCCCCTCACACCTCAGCACTAGGACTAGCCCAGCCCTCCTACATAGACCCACCAGCAGCCAAAGGACATAAAGAATTCATGTTGAGCCAAGGGCTCATTGCCCACTGGATTTCCAGCCAAACTTTTAAGCCCAAAACCTCAAAGAGAAAAGTTCTTCATAACATTAAAACTGTACCACTCAAGATGAAAGAACAAAGTAAACTGCATTGGGTAGATTTTCTTACCCCTCTCAGGACAAGGAAGGCTCCCCACCAGCTGCTTCAGCATCTCCCACATCCCCTCCTCAGGGCCAGCTTGTGCCTCAGTCTGCCCTTTGTGTAAGGAAGGAGCTGTAACAAACTCCACCCTGCCCACACCTGAGCTGAGGGAGGAACAAAATCACCTGCTCCACACGGGGAAATCCTGGGATGTGGTTGTGCCTCTTTTTAGCACAGGCCTTTAAATAAAGCCCATCTAAAATAACGAGGATGACAGCAGGGTTTGCAGAGGAGGATTATAACCAAGGACCTTTCCCACCTCCCCAGGGAGGGAGGAAGCCAGGCCTTAAATACTTATCTTGCTAAAAATGACACTGTGGGTGTGTGAGAAGCCCACGCTGAGGTTTGCCTGGTGGGAGCCACATCCAGCTCTTGGTCCAGCCACAGCACCTGTGTCCACCTGCACCAACCACTCGGGTCCTTGGGATGCACACAGGGAAGGAAGCATCTCCAGAGAGTCCAGCCTGGCTGGAAAGGGCTGTCACACAGCACGTTTGAACCCTGTGAACTTGCTGGTTCAGGACAGGAAGAAGCCAGGAAAAGTCACCAGAAACCCAAAAAAGCACCACCCTCGTTCAGAAGGAGACGCCTTCCAGTGGGGGTTGCAGCCGACAGACCCGCCCCGAAATCCTGGACAAGGTGGTGCCCCAAATGTCCCGAGTCTCACATCTCGGGGGAGGCTTCCCGGGGGGAGCGAGTGGCATCGGCACCGCCCGCACTCCCCGTGGGGGACCCCACCCGGGCTGCCCCCGACCCAACCCACCCTAGCCGTGAGTCAGCGTGTCCTCCCCGCTCCCTGTGTGCCGGCGGAGCCCGGTGCGGGGTCCCGACCCCCGTCTCGCCTGCCCCCGACGCTCCTTGTCCTGCAGTGACACCCACCGGTAACGGGGTTTTACCGCTGCTGCAGCTTCCCCGCCGCGGGCCCGGCTCCTCCCCGGCACTGCGGGCCCCCGACTCAATATCTCCCCCCCTTTCCTGCCCTTTCACCCCACCGCGAACCCTCCTCTCTCCCATGGAATTGCGTTCGTTTCGTTACCGGAGCATCCCAGCGGTGCCGGTCGCTGCTGAGCGTCCCTCCCCGCGCCTGCCGGGCACGGCTCTTCCGAGCACCCGGCTAGGGTTCGGTGAGAAATCCAGTGCAGCAGAGCCTCCTGGGAATTCCTCCCTCAGCCAGACCCCTCCAGGACACGGGGCAGAGATTTTTTAATTAGCTCTTACTAATCACCATCCCAGCTCAGCAGTCCGTGCCCTCCAACCCCTGGCCCAGCTGTGGGGGTGTCCCCCATCCCAAGCCTCTGGGAACACCTGGATCAGCCCTGTCCTGTGGCCTCAGGGCCAAACCCACACTGGGGACAGGTCCTAGGAGAGCCTGGCCATGTCCATCAGCATCTCCCAGCAAGGCAGAATGCAAGGAAGCTCCCAGAGCTGTCAAAGTCCTGCATCCAACCCTGGGGTGTGACTGGGGCTTGTGAGGAGGGAACTGGAAATGTGGAGATCTCCTCCACATACAGACCAGGTAGTGGTCTGTTCCTACCTGTGCTGGGAGCCACAGACACATTATTTGAACCCCACTTGTCCAGTGTCTGGTGACAGAGGGAGGACACCACGTATGGGCAGAGTGGGACACGTTTTTGCCTTGGGAGGGCCAGTTCTGAAACAACTTAGTAACAACAATAACTTTAATAATAACAATAGTAATAATAATTACTGTCAGCCACAGTGACATTAGAACATGAGTAGCAAATGCATCTGTAGCTGCTGAGAGCTCCAAATATGGCCTAGGAGTGACTGTTTCCAGGGCCTTGGCTGGGGATGGCACCACACAGCACCTGCTCAGGGATGAGCAGGACCCCACTCACGTGTCCCCCCTCCAAAATCTTGTGCAGCATCAGGAAGTTGGTCTGATCTGGAAACTTCCTGGTGGTTATTTGAAGGCAGGTGCTTTATTCAAGAGCAGGATATACAGGAACAAACTCCCCAGCCCCAACCTGTCCCTGCATGGTTGATCCAAATCCTGATTCTAAACCAGCCCTGCTCCCTTCTCTGGTTCCAAACACAACCTCGGTGCTGATCCCGGTCCCAGTGCCAACCTCCATCCCAGATGGGGTCTCCTGGTTGGGATAGGGACAAGGAGGCTGCCAGAGCCCAAGAACCAACACAAACACTGCAAAGAGCTGGGAAACCCCATCGGGGTCTCATTGGGACCAGTTTGTGCACCATCCATCACTCAAGTGACCCTTGGCCCGGCCTGGTGGGTGGTGGGTGCTGCAAAACTGCCCCTGGACAGACCAGGAGCCTTCAGCCTGGCCCCCAGTCGCAGGTACTGAGGCAGCACCGCTGTGATGGGAGGGGGACAGGGCAGAGCAGCAGCAAGAATCCTTTGCCCGGGGAGGGACAGAGAGGAAGGGCAGTCCCCGGCACGGCCGTGCTGCATCCCCGAGGTGGGGGCAGGCTGGGACCTGGGGCTGACGCTGATTTTGTTACTGAGCTTGTCCTCCTCTAAGGTTCTTTTGTTCCGCTGCCCCGATCCCAGCCGGCCCCGAGCTGCAGGGCCGAGGGCAGGAGGTGCTGGGGGCCCTGCCTGCGCCGCTGCCCGACAGCTGGCAGCCGGGCTTCCCGAGGGGGAGGCTCTCCCCTCGCTGGTCGCCTCCAAGCTGCCGGCCAAGGGCGGCTTTGGAAGAGGGACAAGATGCAGCTGACTGGCCGGGAAGGTGGGGAACGGATGAAATCGAGTATTTGAGAAATAAGCAGCGGCATTGCTTTAAAGTGGCACAGCCTCACGCGCCCGGGTGTGGACATTTTCCTCGTCTCCGCGGCGAAAGGGTCTGCCCCTAAATAAACCCTCGAGGAAGCAGGAGCCGGGCTGACCGCGAGGAAGGTGGGAATCCTGCGGGAGCCGGTCTCTCTCCAACCTGAGAGACCAACAACGGCAAAACCCCCACGACGGGGTGGGAGGGAGGAAACTTGGGTGTCTCTGAGAGAAACGGGCAGCCCTGACTGGGACTATCGGGCTTTTATTTAAAACGGGACTGACGGCAGGAAAAATCCACCCTGAGTGCGGCCCCCCTTCCCAGTTGCACCAGTAGGTACCGCCGCCGGGCGCTGGTTGAGCGGGCAGAGCGATGCCCAGTCCTCGCCGCTCCGGCAGCGCTGGGCTGGGGTGGCGGCTGCCCGGTGGCCCCGCGGACCTCTCTGCTCGGTCACAACCGATTTCGAGAAGATTCAACGAAATTCGCAGCTTCGAGGCTCACCTTGGGCTCAGAG